AGAGGCTTGCTGTATTTGCATGGAGGATTCTAAACCCTAAACCCTAAACCCTAAACCCTATACCTTAAACCCTAAACCCTAAACCTTAAACCCTAAACCCTAAAGCCTAAACCCTAAACCCTAAACCCTATAAAACTTAGTGCAACATCGCAGCAGAGGTCCGGCGGCTTTGGTGGCTGTGGCGGTGGTGACCCGGGAGCAGGTACTGACCCACATCTCTCTTTGTATCTGTTTAGGGTTTAGGGTCATGGTTTATTCCTTCTTTAGCAGCCGGGTAGCGGGCAGCATACAGAGCAGATGTCAAACTGACCTTGTAGGGTTTTGGTCCACCATTTGTGAGGTGCAAATCAAACAGAAACTTGGCATCATTAGAGCTCGAGTGCGAGGCCTATGTCGACTCTTCGGACTCTCCATATCCCCTGAGAGCCTGGGGTTTGAGATACGATATAGAACATCCCGCAGCCAGGTGTGGAGTACAACGTCGTGAAGGTCTTTGCCAGCCCGGCTATATTGCCAGTGTGTGGCAGCGCACCCTTTAATGGTTTCCATAGGGCTCCAGTTGCCTAACTCTTAGTAGTACTAGTAGTAAATTATGCAGACCAGTAAGCCCCTAAACCCTAAACCCAAAACCCATTATTCAGGCAACTGGAGCACTACAGTTTGGCTGAGCGCGAGTCTTTCGCTTCGCACATTTTCCCCCCCAGTTTACTTAGTGGTTTCCGAAAATAGGGGACCCTAATATGGTACCCCAAATAGTAGGATCCTTCCTCCCCTAAACCCTAAACCCTAAACCCTATTTTCGGAAACTCCCACTTGATGAAGTCTGGTGAGAGGCTCGGAGTGGGCAGGTTTTGGGTTGAGTGTTGCTCTCAAGCGGGTAATATGGGGGCCTTAAGAATTAGAACAGGGTTTGGGGTATATCATTATGATAAGGAACCCCCCAAAACCCAATTCTAATTATTAAGGCCCCCACGGTGCATCGTCGGATTAATGGCATGATGAGGCATCGGCGACATCGCCCGCGCAATTCCAATCCTGCTTCAAACTGTAGCGTAGCAAGAGTCCTTCGCAGCGGCCTCCAGTGAAATCCTGAGTACGACTCGACTCGAAAGCCTGGTTGGGATGGCATACTGGCACCGGTGCACCTCACCAAGGTGTTTCGGGTGTCGTTGCAGTCTGTTGCGGCCAGGTGGGTGGATTGCCTCCGACGGTTGACTACGACAAGCTGACAGGCCGTCCCGACAGTAAGATCTAGCAGATCCCTTCCGATTTCACGAAGTGCTGGTATGTTGCCATCGGCACAAGATGACCTGCGATGCACGAAGCAGAGAGACGCAACAGCACAAAGGTAGACGCTGAACAAGCTTGGCATCCGCTCTGTCCTGGCTCAGCAGAGGCTACTTCCAGAAGTTTGGCGCTATTGAGGCCACTCGACCCGTGTCGGCTGAGTTGGCTCTGCCGGTTAAACTCAAGTTTAAGGGTCTGATTCCAGAAACAGCTAGGGGCCCCAAAGGACTGAGAATCGGTCACATTTGCGGGTTTCCGAAAAATAGGGGACCCTAATATAGTACCCTAAATAATAGGATCTTTATAATAAGGACCCCAAAATAAGGTACCCCCCCCCCTATTTTCGGAGAGTCACATTTGTGCTTCGTTCTCCTGGACTAGTATAGCAGCGTTTGATCCTTCAGCCGAAGAGCGATTTGGGAGTTTCAGAAAGTTAGGGTACCTTATTTTGGTGTACTTATAATAGGGATCCTATTATTTAGGGTACTATATTAGGGTCCCCTATTTTCGGAAACCCCCATTTAGAACGGCAAGCAGCGGAACACCGTCTTTTGTCTTGCAGGATGCTGTCGTGATGATGGACCCATCCACCCAGAGGCCGGCACTCCTGGGGTGAAACTGCGGTTTAGGGTTTAGGGTTTAGGGTTTAGGGTAGGGGGTTTAGGGTTTAGGGTTTAGGGTTGCCGCTTCATGGATCTGCATGCAGCCAACACGTTCCGATGCAAGCTGCACGACGTTGGACGCAGGCAGGGGTACGCATCTTCTCTGTGCGCATGAGCTACGTGCTGACAAGCCTTTACACACACACACAGATATATATATATATATATATATATATATTCATATATAATAAGTAAATAAATAAACAAATAAATAAATAAAAAATATATATATATATATACACCTCGCTTTAGTTTGTACATGTCAAGCAGATGGTTCAGTCTGTTTTTGCATGTCGGCTTCCGAGTTGCCTCATAGAGAACTTGATGATCTAAATCCTGCATTATCAATAATAAGGAATATACCACATAATTCCCATAGTCTAGGGCCCTTATAAGGTAATGCTAAGGATTTATATCATCAACAGTAGTGGCGCCATTTCCTATGCCAGCTTCCTGCATGCATGCACGCATCCATGATAGCGTGAATGGAATAGAGAGCTACGGTTGATGGACACAAACCTTTTTGACCTTTATGGTACTGTACTATATTTGGGTCGTGCAGAATTTTGTCCATTTCTGCCTGTTCGCTTCGAGACATGGAGTGCGCAACCTTCTGCTTGTCGCCAGGTCTCGCGGGTTCGGTTTTGTGACCTTCACGGATAGCTCCTCAGTCGAGGCGGGTGGCTGATGAGATGATTTGCAGATGGGTAGTCCCGGCCGGTGGAAGCCGGGAATATCGATGAAGTGGGACTGTTTAAGGCAGCACGGTCCTGTGAATTTGGAAGTGATATGCAAGCAGCCATGCACAGAATTGGAAGGCCTGCATGCAGCAGTACAACTCCAACGAGATCGAGGGCAAGTGGATCGAGGTGGTGCTGTCTGCGCGCGTGCTATACTTGGAGGTTCATGGGTAGTTATAAGTGGAGTTATAAGTCCCCTAATATGGGTTATAACTATAGTAACCCTACTTATAACCCTACTTATAACTAGCCATGAACCTCCAAGTACCAGTACAGTCTAGTCAGAGGATGGTTCTCGAAAAGCAGCTCCGGACCCTAAACCCTAAACCCTAAACCTTAAACCCTAAACCCTAGACCTTAAACCCTAAACCCTAAACCCTAAACCCTAGCACCATGCATCTTCGCTTCGTATCGACCTAGCAGTCGGAGCCACGATGCCAGCTGCTTTTTTTCCAGTAGACACGGTGCAAACAGAGCAAACCCAGTTTTGATGCAGCTACAGCTGAGATGAAGATATTTGGGAGTTTCCCAAAATCAGGGTACCTTATTTTGGGGTCCTTATAATAAGGATCCTACTATTTAGGGTACTATATTAGGGTCCCCTATTTTCGGAAACCCCCACATGTAGCCTTATTTGCCATGCAGTTGACTTGCTAGCGGCTTTGTCTCTCTAAGCGCGAGATTGTGACAGGTGAAGCGCTGTATTCCTCAGGCCCTCGCGGACTCGGTTCGTGAGTGGAACAGCCGAGGGTCGGTTGAGAATCTCGTTGGACCTATTGTAGACGAGAGACAACGAAGAAGCTGGATCAAGCCAGAGATTTCAATTTCGGCTCAACTTTCAGAACTTCAGTAGCTTGATGATTCTCGTGTGCTCTTGTGACCCTGGGCAGGACAAAATGGCTCCTGGCTCCAGCAAAGGCGCGAGAAGCGCTCGGGAGACAGCGGAGAGCAGGGTCGGCACAGACTGTGCCTTAGAGTCTGAAGTGGCCAGCCAAACAGCCCTACTTGGAGGCTCATGGGTAGTTATAAGTAGGGTTGTAAGTAGGGTAACTATAATTATAACCCCGATTAGGGGACTTATAACCCCACTTATAACTACCCATGAACCTCCAAGTACAAGACACAAGAATTGCTCCGAGACTGTTTTTGAACAGGCCAGGCACTTGATTAAAGTTCTACCTTGTCTGGACAGGCAAGGGAAAAGGCAAGGGCCCGCCCGGCGGTGGCTGCAACGGCGATCTCGGCAGACTTGTGTGGTGTCTTTAGATACAAGCAACATCATGAAGTTGAGGTTCCCACTTTCAGATACCCTCATCTTGGAGGTTCATGGGTAGTTATAAGTGGGGTTATAAGTCCCCTAGGGGTTATAATTATAGTTACCCTACTTATAACCCTACTTATAACTACCCATGAACCTCCAAGAAGGCTTGCCTTCAAGTTGTTTTGTTGTTCTGCGCCCGCAGCTTGTTGCACACTCAGCCTCCACTGCCAATTGCCTGTGGTTGAGTTCCAGCAAAATACGGGCACACACATTGTGTCCAACACGCAAGCCAGGCGGTGGAATGGGTGGTCCTCCAGGAGGCGTCCGGAGTCAAGCTGGACCAACAAATCAGCAGAAGCTATCGGTGATCAGATACATGTCCACATCGCTCAGCACTGAGACTGTCCCTACGTCGTGATCATGCCTTATAAGCGACACCAAAGATAACTTTAGTTCAGATGACGTAGGTTCCAGTTTCAGAGCCCATTCAGCGCACGTCCCTCCTCTTGACCCAAAGGGTCCAAGTACCATTATAGTAGGTACTTAGTAGATATTTGGGCCCCAAAAGTATATACTATGCTAGCACTTGGACCCTTTGGGTGAGCGCTTGAGAGACGTCAGAAATCAGGGGCCGGCTATGGTGCTCCCGGTGCTTACGGAGGACCTCAGAGGGCTGGCATTCTAGGGTTTAGGGTTTAGGGTTTAGGGGTTTAGGGTTTATGGCATTCTAGGTTCCCCAGCAGTCCCCTTTTGCCCTTCTTCTTGTTGGGTTCCCTTGTTAAACCCAAAGGGTCCAAGTACCAGTATAGTATATACTTTTGGGGGCCCAAATACCTACTAAGTACCTACTATAATGGTACTTGGACCCTTTGGGAAAACCAAATAGTCGGAAAAAGGGCACCCTAAACCCTAAACCCTAAACCCTAAACCAAATAGTCGGAAAAAGGGCACCCTTATTATTAAGGGGCTACTGGGAGCCTTGGGTTCCCTTATTAAAACCAAATAGTAGGAAAAGGGTACCCTTAGGGTTTAGGGCTTAGGGCTTAGGAAACCCTAAACCCTAAACCCTAAACCCTAAACCCTAAACCCCTAAACCCTAAACCCTAAACCCTAAACCCTAAACCCTAAACCCCTAAACCCTTAATATT